ACACCCTTTGCACCTGCGCTTGAGTAAGCAGCTAATGTTTTCTTGAATGAAGATGTTCAGGTCTTTCTTAATTGAGACATGTGGTAGTTACTTATTTCTCAGGAAATACGAAAATCGACCCTTGTGTCGTGCAGATAGAACCTTATACGTTGGCACATTGAATTCAATAACGTTCAGAAGAGACCAGAAATCAGCTGGTTTCAGCGTTTTCTAGTGTCAGTGAGCCCGCTGATTACGTCACTGTATTCCAAATTTTGCCGTCATCTGCAAATAGTAATGATTTTGGCCCCAGAGTATTCCGTAGGTCGTTCGTGAATGTAAGGAAAACTCGTGGGCCAAGCACAGTCACTTGCACAACCATGTGGGTAACGTATATAATACTGGACAGCGAATCAGAATCACGAACCAATACGGTCCGTTGTAGGAGAAATACTTCAATCCAATCATGCACGAAACTTCGATTACCGCAATTATACTGTTTCCACAGTAGAATCTCGTGGTTCACCTGATCGAAAGCTTTTGAGAATTCTAGATGAAAAATGTCTACCGCATTGCCGTCATCATTTGCTTTTTTCCACTTTTCTCGTGCGATGAGCCAATTGGTAGCGCAGGATTGCTTCTATCGGAATCCATATTGATTCGGTTGACAGAACGCTGTGCTTCTGTAGGTGTTCCATCAGGGAATCTGATACTATGAACTCCGTGACTTTGAACAACACTGAAAGGACGGTTATAGGGTGGTAGTTAGCGGAACTCTACGGCAACGGCCTTTGTAAATGGGTGAAATTACTCCCTGATTCCCTGGTGAGGAGATTGCAATGTGATCGAACATCCTCTGGAATAGGAATGCTAGTGGTTTGAATGTTTGATTCGTCGAGCAGATGATGGTTTAAGGGCGAATATTGTCTGTATCTGGCAACGAGTTCTTCCCCAAAGCCAATAGCTTAACATTGGCCTTTTCGGTGGCGAATGATACGGGAATTAATAAAGGATGTGGAATATGATGCATCAATCGAGGGAGGGACAGTCCTTCATAAGTTACCGCAGCGAAAACATGGGCATACTGGTTCTTCAGCGTTTTAACGGCTTCCACTCTATTGGCTGTGGCTCTTTCAGAATCGGTATTCCAGCCTTCCTGCTCCGCCTTTAGTCAGTACTAGGAATGGTTCACATCGAAGACTTCTTTGCAGCTTTGCCAACAAACCTATCCGGTTATTACCCACTTGACTCTTACCGAAAATAGCGTTTTCTAAACGAGTAACGTTATAACCCATTTTGAGATAGCTGCATGCTTTATAGTGACCAATAGAGTTCCAGTTCTCAAAACAGCCGAATCAAGCAGGTAGTCCAGTATCTTTCTTACAGTCATTTGTATTCTTTATATGACTAACTAATCGTCTAAGCATCCACTCGAAGTAACTGCCTGATTACTATTCTGTCGTAACTATTTATTTGTATATCGAAACATTTTGATCCCGTAACCATTTTGAGCAAAAAATTCAGAAGAGAACATTGCGAGAGGAATTACGCGCTCTCATCGGTGGCATACATAAAACATTAAACAAGATGGATAAAAGAAAAGAATTAGCAATCTACTTAGGCTCAATTCTGTGTGTTTGTGTACTGTGTATGTGTTACATAGGATTGGTTACATTCAGGGAAGACCGAGGGTGAAATTCATACGCTCTTGGACACAACATTGGTGTGTTGTGAGCTACCTATAGTGCCTCGAGCATTCGTATAAGATGTTTGTCACAACGACTTAACGAAAGTGAGAATGCGTTCGCAAGGTCTATATTGTGACCACCACTTTCAATCAAGTGACAAGCGATGGCCGAAGTTAGTCTACCTGATGCAAACAGAATCGGTGGTATTGTAGGCCGAGGCACTGATTCACGCACGTACTTACGGATGTGTTCCGTCATTCCAGTTGGCTGTGATCGGTCGGTTCTACCAATGCAGCTGTTTACGAGTCCCGGATTTTTCGTTTAGTGCAACCTGAGAATTGATCTGGTCGCACAGTAGAATTTTTTACACTCGTTCTTCGAATACCCAAAAATATTGATTCTTACGTTTTCTCGATGATTGCCTAGGCAAGACAAACCGTGGAACTTCCACAAGTTAATGAACCGAGCGTTCGAGGACATTGACCTTGGGGAAGATGGTGTGATCACGAAGGAAGAGTTCGTAAAGATGCACTCTGATGACTTGACAACGGAAGAGATAGACTTTATCTTCGAGAAGTTCGATAAGAACAAGAGTGGCAAATTGAATAAAGCGGACATCCGAGAATGGCTGAAGAACAAATTTCGTGAGTGAGTCCGAAGCACTATATTCTCATTTTCTTCAGCAGACTACTTGTTACTTGAGGGTATTGGACAATTTTAAAATATTGTGTGTTGAATTTTAATGCACTGCGAGCAAAATGAAAAAAAGATCTGATCAGTGGCCGGATAGTGAATTATGTATTATACTCTGGTCGTATCTGCGAGGACCCGGTTTTGATAAAGTCCCACTGCAAATGAGAACAAAGGCGATTGAAATGACTATCTTGTGCTGTCTAGCTTTTTCAATTTACAATTCGTTAAAGCACGAAATTTATCCTATATTCAAATCTAATCTTCCACTAATCCCAAGCAATAAACTAGTTAATCTGCCTATGAATTGTTTGAACTGTTGAACTGTGCCGAATCGATACAGCTTTGTAACTGATTGCTTACATGATTTGATTACTGCTGAGATCCCAGTACAAGTAAACGTTGCTAGTACATTCTTCTCTCATCCCACATACACACATTCCGATGAAAGGGCAACATCCTGTTAGGTAGCACTTCCCAGATGTAGTACATTCCTTCGTTACTTTCAGTAATGTTGAGTTCCCTTGGGGACCTATTTCCTATCTTGTATTCGTACGTTATCTGAGCAGCTACTGTCTTTCCAACCAATATAGTTCCGCTGGGTAGAGCACTGCACAGTTTAGATAATAAGAACAAAAGGGAGCAATAGTTACGGTATGAAACATGCCCCACTTTATGCAATCGACGGATGAGGTTAAACTGCTACCAGGTTCATGTTTTCAATTGATATTTTCACCTATGTTGCTATGGGTCTATAGATCCCAAATTGCATTCTTCTTTGCAACAGAACTATGACAGGAACTATCGTTTCCAACCCCTGAATGTCTATCTCTTCCATAGAATGATTTGACGATATCACGCAAGAATATGAGCCAACTTTTCTTAGCTAATTATTTGCGCGTTTTTCCAGGAATTATTATATATATGTGCGGCATGCGTTCATACATGCTTTCTTCACTACCTTTGTGTCTCTAGCTCTTTCGGCCCAATCTGCATAGATTGATTTACTCTATAAAATAGGAAATATTCAAATGATTAAGAGCATACTTATCAGGAAAAATCAACGTTTCTTATTTATCGCTAATGAGATTTAAAATTTAGACTCCTTTTTTCTCAGCATTCTTGTCATTATCGATACAGTAACTGAAACATTTCTAAGTAATAGAAATAAAGCCTCTTAAACAACCAGCGTCCAACACACCCAGCTCAATTTACAATTCCAATCTATTTGTTTTTTATTTTAAAACCATTTAAACAATCAAGCCTTTCTGTGATAGCTCCGTATTTTCTCCATTTGTTTTAATTTTTTATAAAACCCTAGACAATTGGGTCTCAGAAAACTCGTCTGGCCTGCATTCGAAAAAGTTGATCTGAGCGAGGATGGAGCAATCACGAAGGAGAAATTATTAAAAGTCAATTCCGGACACCTCACCGAGGCTGATGTCAACAAAATATTCGAGGAATTCGACAAAAGTAAAAGCGGAAAGCTGGATAAATCCGAAACTCGTGCTTGGATGTTTTCGTTTGGATATGGGTAGATTTCATTTCCCTTTTATCAATTTATTGAAAACCCTTATATAAAGCATAAATCCCGCTTTATAGGTAATCTGGTTCCGTCACGTAATTCGGTAACGGAAACGCCGGATAATTGAAGTGGTACACATTCAGCGATCTACTCTGGACGGGTGCGGTATTAAGTTACGTGTGGGGAAACGCGAAGATTATCACGGCTTTGAGATTGTGTCCAGAATCAAATAGAAAACCATGAATCTAAAAGCGCATTGCAGGCAGAAAGACAGTGAAATAAAAGATATCAGAAATGACTGAGAGTGAAGTGCCAATCAAAATGCTGAACACCTTTTGAACTAAACACAAATTTGCATGTGTTCGCCTCTCTCAAATTCAATTTTTGCCTAAATTGAATTTGAGAGAGGCGAACACATGCAAATTTG